AACCTGTCAGGTTCTCCAGAGTAAGAACTAGATAATAAGATGTCTTATTATCTTCCGGGAACAGGGTTTTATAGTCTCTGGGTCTTGGCCATTGATGGGATTACACAGCGCCCTGGGGGCAGTTGGTGGGTGTAACGCCTACATACTGGAAGATCAGAGATCTGGGTAGAGGAGTCCCCAGTTGCAATCCGAGCAGGCTTGGAGGTCTACGCCCCAGGTCTCGCACACCTGGGTTCCTCTGCCAGTTCCTTCATGTGTGAGGCTCATCCGAACGTGTGGAGAGTGGTCTTAAACATGGCTGTGATTGGAATCGGAGATCTTCAGCTGCCGGGGCTGTGCTCGGGGTGGGGAGGGATACTCAACCCACCCTCCTCCAAGGGGCCTCAGTGAGGACAGCCAGGTACGGAGGCAGGAGACTCTGTGCTGTTCTCTTCCGGGAGCACGGTTTTATAGTCTCTGGGTCTTGGCCATTGATGAGATTACACAGCGCCCCGGGGGCAGTTGGTGGGTGTAATGCCTACATACTGGAAGATGGAGGATCTGGGTGGAGCAGGCCCCAATCCTAATCTGAGCAGGCTTGGAGATCTACGCTCTGAGTCCTGCACACCTGGGTTCCTCTGCCGGTTCCTTCATGTGTGAGCCTCGTCTGAACGTGTGGAGAGTGACCTTAAGCATGGCTATGGCTGGAACCGGAGGTCTTCAGCTGTCATGAAGCTGTGACTAGGGTCATTCAAACCTTGAGTTAGTTGAATTCTACTAAGAAATGGTAGTGAGAGGGGCTGGAGAGATAGTACAGTGGGTAGGGTGCTAGCCTTGCATGAGGCCTACCCAATTCAGTCCCTGAAAAGCCAGGAGCAACCCTTGAGCACTGCCAGGTGTGGACCCCCCCCAAAAAAGGTGGTAGTAAGGAAACTGAGAACAGAAAAAACACATTAAAAAACAGCAAATAGTACTCCATTGTGTAAATGTACCAAAGTTTCTTTTTAACCAGTCATCTGTTCTCAGGCACTCAGGTTTTTTCCAGATTCTGGTTAAAAAAACTTTGGTACATTTACACAATGGAGTACTATGTAGCTGTTAGAAAAGATAAAGTCATGAAATTTACATACAAGTAGTGCTACATGGAAAGGATCATGTTAAGCGAAATGAGTCAGAAAGAGCGGGATAGACACAGAAAGATTGCATTCATCTGGGGAACATAAAGCAACATAATGGGAGACTAACACCCAGGAGTGGCCGAGACTAGTGCCAGGAATTTTGCTCCATGACATGGAGGCCAGCCACACATCCTAGGGGAAAAAGAAGCTCAGATAGAGAAGGGAGCACCAAATAAAGGGTGTTGGGAGGATTCTCCCAGGATGGGAGAAGCATACTGAAAGTAGACTATATACCAAACATTATTGCCACTCAATGCCTCTCTTGTAAACCACAGAACCCAAAAGGAGAGAGAGAGAGAACAAAAGGGAATGCCCTGCCACAGAGGCAGGGTGGCATGGGGGGTGGGAGGGATGCTGGGACCTGTGGTGGTGGAGGATGGGCGCTGGTGGCGGGATGGGTACTTGATCATTGTATAACTGAAACCCAAGCACAAAAATTTGTAAGTCTATAACTGTACTTCGTAGTGTTTCACTAAAAAAAAACAGCAAATATTATTTGATATAATATTGCACGTGCTAAATTTGTTCAAAAATTTATCTATGATGAGGAAACTTCTGGGCTGGAGCGATAGCACAGCGGTAGGGCGTTTGCCTTGCACGCAGCCAGCCCAGCCAAGCGGGTTCGATTCCTCCACCCCTCTTGGAGAGCCTGGCAAGATACTGAGAGTATCTTGCCCTCATGGCAAAGCCTGGCAAGCTACTCGTGTTGTATTAAATATTCCAAACACAGTAACAAGTCTCGCGATGGAGACGTTACTGGGCCTGCTTGAGCAAATCGATGAACAACGGGAGGACCATGACCGTGACCGTGAGGAAACTTCTACCTCTTGGGGCTCTTCCCTCTGAAATGGTACATCTCTAGATCTGTATTATTTTTGCATGACCTGTGATGCTTTCAGGACATTTTTCCCTAGTAAATTCTGTTATCAAGTCTGGGAATCATTTAGTCTTTCTGCAATATTTAGTTTCTTTTAGTAAGATTGTTTACATAGCTGACAGTAACATAAACTGGACTCATCCATTTGAATAATTATAGCATTAGTATTCAAGTGAATTTCCACCTGATTCTCAGAAATGACTGAGAAATTTAGTTACCAGAGAAATAAATTTGTCAATATACTTTTACTTAGATCACTGTTATCTTAATTTTTACATTTAATTTATAAGATGAACTAGCCCAATTTAACATGATGGGAAGATTGACTTTTCTAGGAAAGTAGTCAAATGCACATAAAATTGAAATTTCTTATATATTAAGGCAGATTACCTTTCTGTCTGTTCTGATATCGTACCTCTTGTGTTCACATCACATCTTCTACATTTACATGTCAAACCAACCAAGATTTTTGTTAATCTATTGTTTATATCATGTAGTTTGGTGTCACAGTACTTTATGTATATCATTCTTACCACACTCATTAGCAAAGTTCCAGTAGTGTGTGTTTTCAAGAGGTCCGGCAGTGCTCTATCTCTCTTGACGCCCACGTTCTGTAGTCTCAAGCTGTTTCCCCCACCCTGAGGAGGTCGATGGTGATGGGCAGGCGAAGGAAGGAAACGAGGGCCACGCTGGTCGGTATCAATTGTAGTTTATTCCAATCTTAACTCTCACCTCTGACTCTGCCCTCTTGAGCCCCAAGCCCCTTCCGAGCTTACAGTTTTAGATTATATAGCAGTCATGTAGGGTGGTGACAAAAAGGTGGGTTGAACATTAACAAATCAGCAAAGAGAGGTAAGACCACTCCTCCATGAGATTAACTCAAGGATAAAATCTCATCTAAAGAGATTATTCCAGATTACTAGGAGATCTGCTCAAGGGTGGGATCCCAACAAGGGTGTGTTCTTTCCTCAGCTAGTAATCTACTTAAATAGTTGTGGCAAATCTACTTCTAATATTTATAGAAATGTCATTCTGTATGAGCACAGTAAGACATGAACTTACAGTTTGGTTCTTCCTGAGGACATCTCACTATATATTCATACACACACACACACACACACACACACACACACACACATATATATATATATATATATATATATATATATATATATATAATGTAGCCTGTCCACATGGCAGAGTCTGGCAAACTCCCTGTGGTGTACCCAATATGCCAAATACCAGTAACAATGATGGGGTCTCATTCTCCTAACCCTTAAAGAGCCTTGAATATGGCACTTTCTAAAATCTCAGGGCTAGGACGAAGGAGATGTTACTGGTGCCTTCTCGGGGCAATTGACGAACAACAGGATGATCGTGATATATATGTATATCACAGTCCTCAGGCCAGGTTAGTTTTCCTAGCCCCAGCAGGGTCCTAGTCTCATCGTCATTACTTACTTTTGGATCATGACAGCATTTGTCCATGAGCATGCCCTCAACTTATAGTTGAGTATTGTGGCACTTTGGCCTGGCCCATTTTGATGCCAGGGTAGCTAACAGTACCTCATTCAGTCCCTCATTGGGACCCTGCTTTTGGGGTGCTAGGAACTAAGGGCAACTGAGTCAAGAAAGCAGATGCCCAGGAGTAAATATTATTCAGAGTCAATCAACTCCCAAGTTACAAAGCATAATATTAACTGTCTTCCTGTGTCCATACAGAAAGGACATTGCTTTAAGGTAAACTATGCAAAGGACATACCTTACAATACAAGTTCAGTGTCCTTAGAAGGATCTGATCTTACAAGCTAAAAGAATCTGATTAGGGAGAAAAGGTGATTAACTGTCTGGGGAGGAGAGTACAGAGAAGAGTTTACACATAAACGAAGGAATGGGAGTGACTTGGGAGCACTGTGATGGGTGTAACCCAATAAACCTAAGCTTCCTATGGCAAGGGAGAAAGGACAAGCCAGTGTTATCCTACACACTAGCATCTCACATATGAGTGAACCCATCCAGTAATTGTCTTTTACTTAGTTCATTAAGTATAATCACATTAAGATCCTTTCCATTGCACTGTAGTATTCTATTCTACACACACATATGTGTGTATACATGTCTATGACAACTGCTTTATTCATCCATTTGTCAGTGGGCATTTAAGTATTTTCCCCTTTTTTGGATATTGTGAATTATGTTGCTCTTAAGATAGAAGTTAAAATATCTATAAATAAATGCCTACAAGTGGTATGCTGTATTTCATGGACTGTCTATGCCATTCTCAGTGGTGTGTGGTAATATTTCATTGTGGTTTTGAATTTTGAATTTTTAATAAGTGACAGTGAGTATTTTTTCATGTGTCTGTGAGCTATGTTTATGTATTTTTGCAGATTTTTTCCAAGACTTTTTGCCAATATTTTATTCAGTTGCTCTGCCTTTTTGTGATAGTTTTCTGTGTAAAAGCTTTTAAATTTAATTTACCACATTTGTTTAATCTTATTTTTGTCTCCATTGGAGTAATGTTTTTGGAATTATCATAGTCACTTCCTTAAATGAAAGTGGAAATGATAATTGTATCTCCATAATTGGGTGTGCATTGATGGAACTGGTATAGGTCCAGTAAAAATCTGGTTTTGCAATTCCATTGTTTCCTAGCTTGTTTTGAAACCTTAAAAGTAAGAGTTGATATGTAGATGCAAAATTTAATTATATAAGCTAATCATTTTCCTATTGTCTTTTGACATATCCAATGAAAGATTAGTTGGTATAATTGGAAAAGTCCTCATTTTTTATTTCATTTCCCCCCTCTACGTTCTAACTGAAAATATAAAAGACAGTCTTTCAATCTCTTGTGTCTGGACTGACCTTTCATTCATTCTAAAAGAATCAGGCATTATTATATGAAGTTTATGTGATATTTCCAATGTTTTGTACTGATTTTCAGTTCATTTTCTTTTGTTTTTCAGAAAGAGTTTTGGAATACCTACACAAAAGCTCAACAAGGAGACAATAACAGAGGAAGTGACTGGTTTCAGTTTTATCTTACCTTTCCTTTAATCTTTGGTCTCTTTATTATCCTCCTTGTCCTTTTCCTAATCTGGAGATGCTTCCTAAGAAACAAAATTCGCAGACAGACAGTGACTGAAGGCCACATTCCTTTCCCTCAACACCTTAATATCATCACTCCTTCTCCCCCACCAGATGAAGTGTTTGATAGCAGCGGCTTATCCCCAGGCTTTCTGGAATATGTTGTTGGGCGTTCAGATTCCGTCTCCACTCGTCTGTCCAATTGTGACCCTCCACCGACCTATGAGGAAGCCACTGGGCAGGTGAACCTGCAGAGGAGTGATACCGAGCCTCATTCAGATCCACCACCAGAGTATGACGACATCATCAACTCCAACTCTGCCAGTGCCATTGCCATGGTGCCTGTGGTCACCACCATCAAATGAAGCTCACAACTTTTTACTATAATAATTTTTAAAATACTAATGAAAGAAATTTCTAGCACTTTACCACTACATAAATGTGCATTCATCTATTTTACATCTATTTTATTGAACTCTTAAAGCATACCACTCTTTTATAGTTTGATTTGATTTTCATTGTTTCCTGGTATAAAATTATGATTCCTGCTAATTTTGGCTCCTGGAAATAGGTTTAGGTGGGAAAACATAATAACGGATGATTCTGTGTGATGTGGTGAGTTGAAATCTGTGCATATATACATGTGGCCAGTATATTTGTAACTGTCTCACTCCTATCTAAATAATTTGTAAAGAAAACATTACTCACCAAAATTCGGGATGAAAGACACGAGCAGTTTGTGAAATAGCAACACACTATTGAATTCTAAACATAAGCTGAACCTATCATGTTTTCTAATTCATAGTGGCTTTTATTAACCTTTTCATTCAGCTATCGTGAAAAAACTGCACAGTCCACCTTGATGTTTAGGTACATTTCAGAGATACCTGGTGGGAAACACAATAGTTAATAACTTATGGCACATCAAGAACATCATTGCTCTTTACTGGCTTTTGAATAATACTGTACGAGGGATTTTTGATGCCATGTTTCTCTTACACACAAAAAAAAATATTTAAACTGTGTTTGCTTAGAATCTCTGAATGCCTTCGGCTCTTTATATTACCATCTTGGCAGGAGGACTTCCTGCCAAACATAATACTGATTACTCTTTTGCTCATTTGTGACAGTAATTATTTCTTTTCTCTTTTATTGCCTTTTACTCTACTCCTCACTCCCTCTCCTACCACCCAGATCTTTATTTAAGCACCTAAGAGTTCAGTTAAGATAAAATTTTTGAAATTTTTTTCATTAGTGTTTTTAGAGAAACTGAAGTGTTTGCCTTCGGATGATTAAGAGGCAATTTTCCTTTAAATGAAGAACTGTGATTTTTTTTATATATTGCTCTCCAATCAGTGGAGAAAGATTACGAAGTCTGTGTTGTGCCAGGTGCACAATAATAAACCTGGTTAGAGCTTCATGTAGATCTCATTTTTGTTGCTATTTGATTTTGTATTTTTATTGAATCATTCTTTACTTTTCTCTTGAAGGAGAGGGAATAGGTGATGAATGAACTGCCAACATAGACTGGCTCCAGAAGAAAATCGTTGCATCCTATGAAGTTCCATGGTGTATGCACTGATAGAAAATTCATTACAGGGAATTAATGAATTTTCAGGGAAAACATCAGCACCTTTTTGGTGTTGGATAAAATGGTTGAGAAGTTAGAAGAAAAACAGAATTCCATGTGCCATACCCTGCATTCTCCATCTCCCCCAACACTTCCCTCCATCCTGCTCTGGAAACCAAAGGAAGAGGAATGTTGGTGGGGAGCACTCAGAACTAGGAGTCTGATTTCATTCTGCAACACATTTGCCATGGTACCATAGGGAAGGAAGACTAACTCTCAAATTCCTTCTGCCTTTTTCCAGGGGCTTTAAGTGGATTTAATAAGATGGCAAGTGTGGCAGTACTCTAAGATGTGAAGAGCTATCCAGGTGTCAGGTGATACCATTGTTCTTATTGTGCATAAGGGAAATTTTTCTTTTTCCCTAAAATTCAAAGATTTTTCATGTAGTGAGAATAGCAGAGTCTGCTTCACACCTGTGCTCTCCAACCACCAGTCCAAGGATCCAGTGCTGGCTCACAGATACAAAAGGTTGAAGAGCACTGGTCTCCACTGCTGTGCCAATTTAAAGATGGCAGATGGCTCAGCAAAACAGGATTAAGAAAAGTATGATGTGTGTTTAGTAGTTGTTATAGCTTTCATAGACTAAGTATAACCTTTTTCTAAAAAAAAATTGGCTATAAGGACATCTTTGACTTCCTGTCAAAGCTGAAAGTATGGGAACGTTGGATCCCGAAACATGTGTTTTGCTTTCCTTCTAAATGAAAAAATAGGGTTCCTTTTGTGTGGATTTTTTGTGATTAATTATCAGGCCTCAGATAAGACCAGCAGTTTTCAAAGTGTGGCCCGTGGAGTCCCTGAGAGTCCTCACAGAACCTTCAAAGGGATCTGGGAGATTAAAAACTATTTTCATAATAATACAAAGACATTATCTTTTTCAAGCTCTGTCTCTCAAAAGGTAGCTGAAAATTTAAAGGGATGCCAAACACAACAAACCTTGTGTTTCAGAAAATGATTTCTTTATATTTTTGTGTTAGTATGTAGTGAACTTTGAAAAATTTTTAAATACTTGAAATTCCTAGTTTTATTCTCTACTCGGGCAAATACTGATAGCTAAAAAATCCATTTTAAATGCCATCCAAGAGTAAAGGGGTCTGGAGACCAAATTTTGCCAATTTCTGAATAAATAAGTAGGATATTCTTGCAACTTTCACATCTGAAACACCTCGTATTGGATTCAGTACGCCTCTTAGGAGATACCAGAATTGCAGTTTAAGAATGAATGCAGAAACTTGAAGCAAAAGCCACAAGCCAAAACCATAAACTGACCAGTGATTTCAGTTTTTTAGACTGTTGTACTGTTGGTCAATTCCTTGTGATAACTGGCATTAGCCATAGGTCTCATGGAGGTATTTGTTTAATGATAGGATTAACTAAATGCAACTTTCTTCAAGAAAGTCTCTTTGGTTTGTTTATTTTGGGTTTTACATGTTCAAGACAACTCTTTTGGTACTCCATCTAATTTTATAAGCTGATTTTCTTAACATTTGTTATAATTAAAGGGGCTTATCTGGAATAATATATATTTTTATGCTTTTGCCTTTCTTACCTGATTGATATTACATTCACCTTTGATCATTTTTAATAAAGGTTTATTTTTGCAGGATGTATTTAGTACCTTTCTTATGCAGGAACTAAATCAAGCCTCTCAGTTTGCATTTAAATGAAAGAAAGGGCTCAGTGGTTTCCTTGTGGAATGGTTTCCAAGTCTCCACGCACAGTGGTTATATATGGATTCCTAGAACTGGCACTTTCTGGCTCCTTGCTTTGAATATCACAATGAATTTTATCTATTTTAAAGTAAATTAGATGATTTTTCTTCCTGTTGCCCAGTACAAATACAAATGCTGTGTTTGATTCCTTGTTAATGATGACTTTAAGATTGTTCTGATATAATAACTGCGGCAGTAGCTTTAACTTGGTTCTATGTAAATACCATGGATTTTAAATTTTCACATTTTTAAACACTTGGTTTACATTAAATTATGGTATTTAACTATTTTTATGTTTATACTTGGTAAGGTTTTTCTTATGTTTCTGTGTTTTTGGTATGCTAAATAAAGCTATTTTTAAACCCATTTCTTCTGTCATGTATTAATAATCTTTTGGTTAGATGATAGACATCCTGCATATGGTCATATTATATTAATAACAAAGTAAAATTCAAACATGTCTTTGTTTATGGTCCATACCCACCAGTGCTCAGGGATCACTCATAGTGGGACTCGGAGACCATAATCAAACCTGGGTGGGCCACATGCAAGGCAAGTGCCTTACTCATTGTACTACAACCCTACATTTGTCTTTGTATTTTTATTACACAAGAATTCTTATCTCACCTGTCGTTTTCATTAACTTTGCATGGTTATTTTTGTTCTCAGTAATTTTATTTACTTTATCCACTTATTTGTCTTTATAAATCTATAGAGTCACTATTATCTGGTCCCACAGATTTAGCTAACCTTAGCAAAGATGATAGGCACAAAATGCCCACCTTGTGTGAGAAACACCAAGGGGACTATGAAGTAATGGTGCCAATAGATAACATTCATCCTGGGGGGACTTTTCAGTCAGATTAACACTGGGAAATAATGTAGTGTTGTATGACCCCAATTCAACTCAAGCTCACACATATTCTTTTGGCTAAAAGTCCCATGGTATTTTAGTAGTTGTCATCTATATCAGGCTATGTTATCATTTTTGTTTTCAGTAATGGAAATCCTTTCAAACATTTTTCTTTCAATGAAACCCTATTATATAAAACTGTTACTGTTTTTGGCATATTGAATATATTGATGGGACGAGTAAGGAGAGGCTGCTAAAATCTCAGGGCTGGGATAAATGGAGACGTTACAGGCGCCTGCTCAAGCAAATCGATGAACAATGGGATGAAAGTGGTACAGTGATTATATAAAAAAGATTGTAAGGAGCCAGAGCAGTGTGGCTCCTTGTCAAGTACCCTTTACTTCAGGTCAGACCAAGTCACTGCTACAAGCACTAGAATTTGATGAAGATAACTAGGAAACTTATGTAATAGAACATTGCATATTAATATTCAATTTCACAGTTCCCTCAACTTTACACAATCAACCCAAGCCACAGAATCTTCACCGCCAATGTACTGCTTAGGGTTTACAATTTTTTTTGTCAATTTTTCCTACCTCATACTGCACGAGCCACAAAACATATACCCTTTTTGAAGAAAGGACCATGCATGGAATATTAATAGCTCTGATTTCTATATTCTATCATTGCTGTGCCTCCTGCTACATTTCCAACAGTCTGTTCTTTTGCATTTGTGGGAAACAATGGTTTTAATAAATTTATATATCATATTGTAAAATAAGCAGAGGGTGATGTTAGTGAAAATATGGATGAATATTATAAAAGCTTATTATTCCACAACAGCAGCAAATAAACTAGCAAAATGTGTCAGTTTCAACTTCATAAGAAATTGAAATGAAGGGTATTTTTTTGTCTTTCACTTTGAAACTAAGTTTTATAGCAACCAGGAAAGCAAAGAAAAACTTTACTTACCCCAGCCTTATCCCTTGTTTCCTTCTCAGTAGTATCTTGGAGGCAACAATTAATATTTCAGGTTTAGATTCCTAATACCATAGGATGCAGAACTGGCCTTACGCTCAAAGATCTAAATTGGTTTCATAATATGCCAGTTCAGAAGGCTTGCTTGTATTTTGCCTCACACGGAATTCTGCCCAGTTGGACTCAATGAAAGTAAAGGTTCAAAACTACTTAACGGTAAATTTATTAGCTACTACAACCTGGCAAAAGATAAAAGTTGGGGTTAACAATAAACAAGAAAACTTGTGAAGAAGGGATAAGGAGCAAAGAAAAGTGAAGTTTGAGAATTATGGCATGGTTTTAGGAATCTGCAGGGCCAAGCACATATCCAGAGTAGGATGCAAGTTCTATAAACATTTGGGAAGGATCTAAGCCCTCTGTCTGACGTTCAGATCCTATATAAGCATAAGTAGATCATGAAACTTACATTAGAGTTACATTCTGTTCAGCTCAAAGTTGAAAGCTCACTCCACAACACATCTACAAACAATAGGGGCATTTTTCATAGGCTCCAGATGTTTAAAGAACTGTTAAATCATTAGCTAAACATAACAGTTACAAACAAAAACTGAGAAGAGAACACAAAACCCAAAGTTTGTCATGTCATAACTAATTCAGTAGTACTGCCTTAGAGAATTAAGTCAGTAGTCATCCAGTTGTACTGAGTAGCATAACCCTTTGACCTCACAGCTCAGATAGTGGGCCACAGGAAAGAATTTATATCCAATCACCCCAAAATGTTACCTAAAGACATAACCAAAAACTCAAGATAGTTGGTGAAGAAGTGTCTGGTCAAGTAGACCCAGACATTATGGGTCCACTTAACCCCGAAGGCATAAGACCACTTGTACAAAGGCATAGATGATAACTAACATAAGATCAAAGAGTGTGAGAATAAGAAATATGACACAAAGACAGTCTACAGAATGGGAAAGGATATTCTCCAAATACACATCCGACAAGGGGTTGATATCAAGGATATACAAAGTACTGGTTGAACTCCACAAGAAGAAAACATCCAACTCCACCAAAAAGTGGGTCAACGAAATGAACAGAGACTTTCTCAAAGAAGAAATCCGAATGGCTAAAAGGCACATGAGAAAATGCTCTGCATCATTAATCATCAGGGAGATGCAGATCAAAACAACAATGAGATATCATTTCACACCACAGAGACTGGCCCACATTCAAAAGAACAAAAGCAACCTGTGTTGGCGCGGATGTGGCGGGAAAGGGACCCTCCTTCACTCCTGGTGGGAATGCCGACTGGTTCAACCCTTTTGGAAAACTGTATGGACGACTCTCAAAAAATTAGAAATTGAGCTCCCATTTGACCCAGCAATACCACTCCTGGGAATATACCCCGGAGAGGCCAAAAAGTATAGTCGAAGTGACATCTGCACTTGTTTGTTCATTGCAGCACTGTTTACAATAGCTAGAATATGGAAAAAAGCTGGGTGCCCGAGAACAGATGACTGGTTAAAGAAACTTTGGTACATCTACACAATGGAGTACTATGTAGCAGTTAGAAAAAATGAAGTCATGAAATTTACATACAAGTGGTACTACATGGAAAATATTATGCTAAGCGAAATGAGTCAGAGAGGGACAGACATAGAAAGATGGCATTCATCTGGGTAACATAAAGTAACAAAATAAGAGACTAACACCCGAGAACAGCTGTGATAAATACCAGGTTGTTCACTCCGTGGCTTAGAGGCCAGCCGCACACTCCAGGGGTAGAGTCAGCTCAGATAGAAAAGGGAGCACCAAATAAAGGCTGCTGGGAAGATCTGCCCAAGATGGGAGATGCCTGCTGAAAGTAATCTATGGACCGAACATGACTGCCACCCAATGTCTCTTCTGCAGACCACAGCACCCAAAAGGAGAGATAGAACAAAAGGGAGTGCCCTGACACAGAGGTAGGGTGGGATGGGGGATGGGGCGGTGGGAGGGATACTGGGATTGGTGGGGGTGGAGAATGGGCACTGGTGGTGGGATGGGTACTCGATTATTGCATAACTGAAACCCAAGCACAACAACTTGTAAGTCTACAACTGTACCTCATGGTGTTTCACTAATTAAAAAAAATATGATACCGCCAAAGGAAACTAATACACCTCCAAGAACTGCCCCAGAAAAATGCAGATAGTCAGAAAACTGTTCAAATTTGAAAGAATAAGGTCCTGGGAATACCTCCTCCTCATAGACACAATAAACCTACTTTGTAGGAGCTACTGCCTTCCCAAAAAGAACACTGTGTTAGAAGATCAGATTAGATCAGATAAGCATCTCCATAAGGAAAAGGGATCAGAGATCATCAGAAAGGGAAGGCATTTTGGTCTTACTGGGAATGCTACTGGGGCACTGTGATCCAATGGCAAAAAGGACATCAGTGACATTGCTATGCCCTGGCATGGCAACATATCCTGGTGTTACCATATCTCAAAGATAGGTTGCCCCAACAGCAGGAACAGCACGAGTGGGCAGTGCCTGGAAACTGTCTTTCCTTTGGAGAATCAGAAGATCCTAGAGCGCACAGGGAGCAGATGGATGAAGTTTGGGTATACCTGAGAGATTTCTTTTTGTATTTTTGTTTTGGGACCACACCTTGATTATCAGAGGTTAATCCTAGCCTTGCACTCAGTAATATACTCCTGGCTATGCTCAGAGACCCATATGGGATGCTGGGCAAGTTGTATTATTGCTACCCATTGTATTATTGCTCCAGCATCAGACTGAAGGATTTCAGTTCACAGAATTCCAGTAAAGAGCATGGCCCCCCAAAAGTAGCAACACTGCTGCTGTGCAACTTTCTTTGATCTCTTTTTTTCTCTGTGTGGCAGAGGGACAGAAAATGCCATACTGGTTGCAATCAATTGATGATCAGGGTAGGAGTAGAACCTCCTTTGCTGACTGCAGGGAGCCCAAGATGCAACTAAAGTTATGTTCATCAAAGTACATTCATCAAGCCTACAGCCTGAGCCCAGTGTACCCAAGGATGCTCTGCTTGTGCAAATTCCTCTGGGGAAAACAGCTGCAGAACCTAATGAGATCAGAATAACCTGCAGCTGAGGGGTCAGTTTCTATGGGGAAAGCACTGCACGAGTCTTGCCTTGAGCTGACAGTAGCTATAGTTCCCAGAGAGGCGAGAGCCTTCAACACTCTTTAGCACAAACCTCTGCTTTCCATCACCCTGCTCTTGCCCACTATTACTGGGTTCTTGGGCTGACTTCTCCTGCTAGCTCTTCAGCTCCATCCATGCTGACCAGTGCTAAAGCTTTATAGTGACAGAAAGCTCAATATCCAGGTCCAGTACCCTTGGCCTGTATCCTGCAACCTTTAACTCTAACACAAGGCCAATGCATAAAGACTTGGAAAGAAAGCTGTTTGGCTTAGGGGCTAGAGAAATAGCACAGTGGGTAGGGCGTTTGCCTTGCACGTGACCGACTCGGGTTTGATTCCCAGCATCCCATATGGTCCCTCAACCACCACC